CACAGCAGCATGTATGAAACCATGAGTATTTGCAACCCCCACCCAGGCATTCAACACAGCTTCCCTTTAATAGCATGTTACCGGGAACATTTTAACTAGCATGTGTTTCAGACTGCATCCCTAACACTCCTCGTCTTGGAAATCCTTGATTGCATCCCTTCCCCTGATGCATTACAGTGTTATTTCACTGCTTTCAAAGCCTGTGGCCAAACTCCAGGAATTATGAAGTCAGATGAAGAGACAGGTATAAACCTCTCCTGCACCCTGGAGAAGATAAATCATGGTCAGGCACGGAAGAAGCACCTCATTATGCTGTGCAGCAGAATACTTCTGCACAAGGAAAGCAGTGGCCCATGCTGCTGCGTTCATGGGGCCACTGGCTCATGACAGCACCTGCTCTGGGTTGGAAGACGGCAGTACATAATTCCTTACACTTGGAGCAGCCACACTGCTCTCAAGAACAGTGAAAGACTCATGCCTGAGCTTTGGCACTGTTTTCAAACATGCTGTCTTGGGTTTGCATGCAGCATTCCAGTGAGAGCTCAGAGCACCCCATCCCTCTTCCCTGAGCTCATTGCTCTTTCGACAGTGGTGTTTTGATCTGAAATCTACTTCAGCTCAGCATGGTTTTCTGGTAGTTCAATGCACTAGACAAATGCCACTGCATTTGCTCTACCCTAAAATTTCTTCTGTGTGAATTTCCTAGAGATTGATATCCTTGAAAGGCCAGGTTTAAAACTGGGTATTTTTTCCCTTCTTATTGGGATAGCATGTGAGCCCTTTTAATGTTGTCTCTGTCTCCCAGAGTGTAGTATATATAACATTTGGGCATGCCACATTTAGAGCAAAGTTCCTTTCTATTCTTCCTATCCAGCAGTTGAGTGCCTCCAAAGGGCAATGCACAAGGCAAGGGAGTTAAGTAAAACTCAACGTTGCATTTCATAGCAGACAAAAATGAAAGATCAGTGTCCATCATGTCATATCTGCAAAGTTGCTGGCCATAAAAGCCTTTTATATAATTCCAACTTCGTAGGAAAATTGCCCTTCCTCCATTTCTTTTATCTTCTAATGTACCACTGGATAATGATTTCCCTGAAACTGGAAATTGGCACTTCATAGATTTTCATTCAAGTGCTTTCTGTGAAATCATTGATGTCCTGACGCTATAAAAACATTGAAGAAAATGAATTCTTTTGATCACATTGGAAGACTTAAAAGGTCCTGCCCCCATAAGCAGTGCTACCCATGGTCCAAGTTACCAAACCTTTGACTTTGAAGAAAGTTCATCACCCCTGTGAAAGGCAGCGGTCATACCTGCAGGAATTCAGTACAGCCACCTCCTCTGCTGAATTCCTACAGAGTCCATGAGGATGCATTTCACAAGGGGAGATGCTGATCATTTGTGTGATTGTTCAAATATTTATCCTCTTTCATTCTCAAATACTATGTTATGTCCTACAGCATGGTACCTTGCTTGAGTCTACTTGTTTCTTGTATGTGTTTCTGCTTATGTTGTCTAAAGTCTTACATTGTCTACCAAAAGATGGGTTTACTTTGTAGATTTTTTTCTGTAACTTTGAGGTATTCCAATACGGTATCTTGAGCAGATCAATTAATGATTTATTTTTTAAAGGTTTTTCCTATTTAGCATTGTTAATTACAAGCTCTGCAAAACTGAAGAATTTAAACTTTGAAGTGAGTCAGTTCTGACTGAGTCAGAATTTGGTATCTCTGCACTTTTAACAGAAAAACTAAAACATTTGGCTTTTTTGGCTTAAAGAAGTTCTTCAGATTTGTCCAATCCTTTGAGAGATTTTATATTAAATAGAAAGTCTCTAATACCCTTATGATGTTAATAGCCCCCAAAAATGGATCCAAGAGATGACATGACGATGCATGTCATGAAGTGATAGGAGATGCTGAAACCCAGCAACACTCTCCATTCAGTCAGACAATATCCATTGGAAACTTTAGTCAGAGCTTGAATAAAAATATTTTTTCTGGAGAAAGACTGTGCAGGGCTTGTTCTGTGTCTGAGAGGATGAGTAGGAAATAAGGAGCAGAGGGCAGAAGACAGAAAAATAAGAGAACTGGAAATGAACTCCAAGTTGCAGTTCCTTCTGTCAGCAGGGGGCACTATTGGCAGCGTTTGTATCCTGCACTTTTTCCTCCCCGCTGTAGTTAGGCTATGCAGCATTTTACACGGCTGTGCAGCATTTTTCACGCAGCCTGCGTGTAGATAGTTCTGTTTCTAACCTGTCATCTTTTGATGTCCATATTTACATACATACTCTTATATTAATATTACAATTTTAAATTCCAAAGACTGTTTAATTTGGTTTTATATATACTAATTAAAGTAAAGGATTCCATATTTTTGGTGTGATCGGCATAGCTGAGAAAAGTCTATAAAATACAGTATGTAAAAAAGTACTATAACTGTAATTAAAGTTCTTGGGCCTCTATATTTCAGTAAAATAACCATATTAAAACCAAGGGTAATTCCCATTTTTCCTTTGCAAAACAAGGACTTGGCATGAAAGAACTTTTCATTTTCTGTCCAATAAAACACTGATCATTCACACTGTCATGGAATCTTAAAGCTGGAACAAAGGGTTTCAAATTGAGTTTGACTGGATGTGTTAACAATTCAAATGAGCCTTTTAGAATAAGTTAGAGCAACCAGGCACATGGAGAACAAAGAGGAAAACTGAATCTGGTAGCAGCATTGCCCTTTATAATGTCAAAGCATCAGGCTCAGAGATGGGATAGGCAATGGAAAGAGATGGATAGAGGGCTATGGATAGCAAATAAGAGACCTAATATTATCACAGCATATGCAAAGAGAATGTTTATTCAGATTCAATTAAAAAAAAAGATAAAGACTGAGTCTATGCTGAAGGGAAGGAACAGTGATGACATAGGAGAGAGGGAGATGGGAGATGGGCAACATCCAGCACATAATTCAGCTTTTACAGGAAGAATAATAAGAGCCTTTGGCTTCTTTGACAACATGCTTCTCTCCTTCCCTGCCTTGATGCAGATGCACCCATCTTCTCTTGAAACCTTGCCAGAAATACAAAGGAAACAAACCTTCCTAGATTCCTAGCAAAGAAGATTCTGCATTAAGGTCCTACTGCCATCTGCTTCTCTGAACATGCAAAACATGTTCTCTATAAGAAGCCAGGCTGCAAACATTTTTCAGATAAGACAGTTACTGAGAAATAAGGGGAACTTCACCAGAGAAAGCCAAGAGTGAGAGGAGTGAGAGGAGATGAGATACTGAGCAGTTCCTGAGCCAGCAGGACACTCCTCAAAAGCCCATAATCCCTAAAACTGATGAAAACTGCTCTAGGTTAAAGGCAATAACTACACAATTGATGGGTTCTGATAAAGATTAAAAAAAAAAAAAGAAAAAAAGAAAGAAAGAAAAAGAAAAAAACCCCAAATACAAGTGTTTCTCCACAGAAGAACACATATTTTGGCTACTTTAGACACTTGGAACATATTCAGCCAAATGACTCCCTCTGTCTACCATGCTCTAAGGTAAGTAAGCATTTTGGTGTAATCTGCCTCCTCCTCCTTTCACAGGTGAAGAACTTTAAGGGAGACATTATTTTCCAAGGGGCATACAACGTAAAAAACAGTCATTTCCTCTTTTTGACTGAAAACACTAAAATTCAGATACACTACAACAGATCCAGGCCCCTAGCAATGTGAGAATCAACAATTTCAACAGTAGTTCCTCTAGCAGGAAACCTTGTGCTTCCTGCAATATGGGTTAAGACTGTAAGAAGCAGCTACCAAGTAGAGCTGGACCAAAACAAATTATAGAAGCATTTTGATCTGGAAAATAAAAGTGGTCTAAATGTTTCACAAGAGGATGCTGGAGACCACAGCCCCCAAAATAAGTTTCTTTAAGAACTCAATAGAAAAAAAACCTTTGTTGGTCCACTTCATAGACAAAAGCTGAAGCTCAACCCTCCTTAAATATCAATTCACACAGGAAACCAGAGGAAACCAAATTTGTGTGGTCTATTTTCTTATTTTTCAGCCAACTAACAAATCACATTATTTAAAAAAATGTGTATGGTTAATAAAAACTGAATGTGGTCTTTGATAATAGTCTTTCATATAGTAGGTAAACTTTCACTTTGCCATTAGCTGGGTTGTGAAGGGCCTTCCTGGAAAAGGATAAAAAAAGGTTGGAAGAGGAATCCAACAAAGCACTCCTCAGGCATTTGCTGTAGGAGAAACAGTTGTAGCTTCCTGGTACTTCAGGCTTAATACAAGTAAGTTGCTTTTTGACCTTAATCATTCAGACATCTTGATCTTACTGTATCTCCCTAATAAAGCCATAATTTCAGGTGTGCACATGATTGTGCCAATTGTGCCATGATTGGACCATCAGAGACTGGACTTCAGAGAGTTGAGATTTTGAGAGTTCACAAAAGTGGATCAGATTTCTTAAAGCCATCCTGCAGGCTCAGCTGTGTCCTGTGGCACGTGTGAGAGGTTTAATCTCATCTGAAAATAGCCACCTAAAATATGGGCATGCAGTTTTAGCCTGTCATGCAAGTTCCCCCTTGAGTCAAAAGATACAAATGGTCACCTCCAGGTAGCAGCTCAACATCTCCCTCCTAAAAGAGGCCTCCTGGAAATGCTGCTCCTTCCATTAACTAGAAAGAGAGTCTAGACAACAGAATAAACACTCAAACCGGAGGGAATGGACACTACTCTTAAAGCCTCCAAAACAGAGTGCTTCAAAAGCTCTGGTCTGGTGCTTATCCAGATGAACTCCACTCAAAACCACATCCCAGCTGCTGTGACAGCCAAGTAAACACTTGATAGGATCATTAATCTTTGGTAGGTGTTCCCCTCTTACAGAGCTGCTAACAAGTATTGTGCTACTCTACCATATTTGCTAGCCTTAATGACAGACAACACAAAGTACTTTGCTAAGCATGATTTGTTACTCACTGGGGCCCCATCTTACTTACTGTTATGATGTGGTTTACTGTTGGGAAGGGACTGCCCTTGGATGAAGCTTCAATGGGACCAGCATCAAGAATGTTGGGTTCTGAAACGAGGGATGCCTTTAAAGAAAAAGCAGCAGAAATGCACATTTTTATTCTGAATGCTGTTTAAGAAGGGAATTCTCTCCCTCTCAGGTTAGTATATAGATGCTTGGCCCTATCATTATATATGATTGCACAGTGAAAGCAAATATTGTAATTCTTGCTATATGCCCTTTTTGATGAACACACTGTATTTGAACTGTTGAAATGGTCGGTTCAACAATAAGCAGTTGTAACACATAGTATCAAGAGAAAAATGCTGGTTATTTGTACACAGATTAGTCCTTTAGTCAAAACATTAGGACTCCTATGGCACACCTAAATGCATTAATTGCTTCTCATCTCCCACATATTAAAAAAGAGGTTTCACACAAACACACACACGCACACACACACACACACACATTCTTTAAATAGATGAAAGATTGTGCCATCTTGTGGGAGACAGAAATCATAACTATTAGTAGGATAACAACAGCAGAACAGAACATTATGCAGTGGAAATTTCTTCTCTTTTTTACTTGCTTCACTATTCATTAAATGAACAGACATCAGTAGCTAGTATATTTCAAATAGCCTCCAAAATAAGAACAAATTATGGCCTCATGGAGGAAGCTAAGCAAAGCAGCTGATATTTAAGATACTGACTCTACCAGAAACTTTGCTCAGAAGTTAAAGCAACTAAAAAGCCTGTTGTTTTTTTTCCTCCTTGATCATCTGATAATGTGAAATATACAAAGAACTATTTGAATTCTTTCATGTTTGTTAAACTATAAAAATTAGATAAGGATAATCTTTTCATAAAATAAAAAAGATAAAATTACACCAAATTCTATCTGTAATTAACCTTTTAGAGATGTCAAATTAACTTCCATATCTGCATTGTGTAACACAGTCCTCTATTTATCAGTCTATAGTATAGTTTTACAAAATTAGTAGGTTATCATTAATTTGACTTTGGTCGATATAGTTTTTAATCCCTATTCCTGGCAATGTAGTAGACATAAAATATTGCCTGCTCTATTCTACCTTAAAATTCAAGAACGAGTGTGCTGGAGTAAAAACTATTAACTTAAGCAAGTATAAATGACAGTTTAAGAGAACAAGAGGTGAAAAAATAATTACAGACCAGTTTCACCTCAAAGCAATTTTGTAGATGCTCTCCTCCCACTCCACCTTTCTCAGCAGGTGAAAAACAAACAGTAAGTTAAAAATATGTACCACAAAACTGTGCGTGATTTTGGGAACCTCTGAAGCTCAAGAGAGTGGCTTCTGATAGGAAAGATGAGGCTTAGGTGGAGCAGCCTGAGACACTTTTATCCTTTGGCACTTGGCACTGTAAGCCTCCATCAGGGGAGTTACTTTGAGCTGTTCTCTCTCAACCAAAAATTACCTCTGAGAAACAAGCTCATCTAGTTTCTATTTCTTTGTAACAACTGAAATGAACTCATCTGGTAAATCTAATACAATGTCATAATAAAGCTTCTTGGACCGAGTACAACTGCATTTCTGCTTACATAACTGCTTACTAAGACCATTATTTTGCTTTAAAAATCAGACATTTAAGTGAACACTTTGAACATACAGATCTGAAAACCAGAATATAATAAGAAGGAATACAATAATTTAATGATATTATTATTTCTTTATAATGTAGTTTGGGAAGTATCTACAAAGCTAAAGCAAACCTAGATCTAGATCTCAAATTTCCCAACTCTGAGTGATTTGATTTGAAGATAACAAGAGAACACACTCCACACTGACAAACAACCCATCTACCTCTGCCACTCTGTGTCCTGCTTGTACCCCAGCCAAGTCTATTGGACCATCTTTCTGCAGCCGTGCAATCACGATCCCCTGGTAACACAAAAGACAGGTTTCAGGCCTGACAGGGTTTCTTGCAGTGTTCTTAGATGTCAAAAGCAAACAGGAAGTAATTAATTTGCAGGACTCGTTGTTCTGCTGCCTCTACTTAAAGAACAACTAAAAGTCTTAGCAAATTAGGAAGAGAAAAAGGTCTCCATAGCTGACACATTTGACAATGAAAAAAAAGTCTTTAATTGTTTACTCTGTGCCAAGGGGGACAGACTGGGAAACAAAGATTTATTTAAATGATAATTAAGGGAGAAGATGTGAGAAACACTTCTCTTAAATGAAGTTAGCTCCTGGGAAGGAGCAAACGGGATGGGAGAGACATGTGGATTGCCAAGGGAGTGACCCCAAACCGAGGCAGAAAGCGGAAACTAGCACACAGTGTTTCAGACAACAGATTGTGTTTGGAAAATCAATGGTTTACATCGGGTTTTCTCTTCAAAATCATCCCTCCAGGAGCTTCCCCATGAAAATCTATTGCTGGCTTCTACTTCAGGAAATATAATCTTTACTCTTGTTCACTTTATTACAAAGATAGTGATGTTACATTGAGGACAACCTCAGAAAGAAAACAACAAAATAATAGCTTCATAGAACTGCTCATCAGTTTCTTTCTCATGTTTACTAGATAAATTTTGAGTTATGAAATGCACCTCATCATTGTCTTTACATGGAGATGAGCCCTTTCCACCAGCAATGCTAATACCAAGACTCCCCATTTGACTGCACACAGTAATGGTTACCTGGAAAAGAATTATAATGGGTAAGTGCACGATTAATGACATGAACAATGCCTATTTATTACATGAACAATGAAAACTTACCTCCCACTCTGAACACCAGCAGCTTTGCCCCTGTAGAGCTCAACCCAGATCAAAATAGTGCTGTGTTTCAACACTGGCATATGTAAGACTAGTCTTTACTCTTTAATAACACAAAGAACGCATTATTTCTCCACGTTTGACAGTCATGCAAAAAACATATAAGGCTGCTGACCAGACCAGTTGTTTCATAAACCCCACTGATTTTCTGAGCATTCAAAATGGCAACAAAGCCAGTACACAGGAGGAATGAAAAGTAAATACTTTTTCATGAGTTTATGAAAAAACCTTTGCTTTCGAGCCTCATCTACAGTCTGATTTGCTTGCTCTCAATACCCTATCAGTCACTTGAAAGCCACCCTACAAGCTGGGTGCTTAGACTTAACATACCCTCCTGCTGGAGACTTCACAGGACCATGCCACCAACAGGTCCCAGCATGGGTGCAACACCCAGTAAGCTGCCCTTCCTGGTGCTACATCCTGTGACCCTAGGGCTGCTGCAAGATTCTGCATCTCCTGCCCATGGGTGGTCACCAGAGGTGGAATCTGTGCTGGGAGACCCCTGTGAGCCAACCTGTATAGTATATTTTCTCCTCATGGGCTCCAAAGCCTGCGAAGATGGGATATATCCATTGAGTTCAGGGTACAACTTTCTCCATAAACTTCAGCCCAAGCCTTGCAGTTCTCTCTTGATAAATTCTCATCCCTTTTCATGGGATGGAGGCTTTCTCATGCTATGATGGTAAGGCCATGCCACTGTTCCATGGACTAAATGAAGACTTAGCTGAGTGCCCACATGCACACATTCTTGAGGTGACCTTACAGTACCAAAGCTGGATATATAAAACGAGTCAGTATTGAGTGACTACAAAGAAAATATTTACTGTTTTTTTAATGTAAAACTCTTTTCCCATATAAGCCAGTGGGCACAAGGTCAAACCTCAGCTCCGTGAAAGAGAAGTCGCAGACATCTACTATGCAATATTCCCTCTTCTTTGCATCTTTCATAAATTACCTCACACAAGAAGGGGACTTCCCCATGAACATAAGGGCTTCCCCACAGACACACACAGACCCTCCCCATTAGCAAGCCCAGCCCATGAAGCAGTTTAATACCTTCAGTGGGGGCTGTGGCACATCAACTGCCCTCGATTCCTCCAGGGTGCATCCACTCTCACTGGGGAAGCTGCCCGCTGCTGAGATGGGTGGCTGCACCTTAATGTTAGTCCCTGAAAGAGTCTTCCCTTTCATTGCCAACTTGTGCTTTTCTTGAAGAACTGTTCTGGTGTTTCTTTGATCTCTCATGCTGTCGTCAGTATCAAACAGACTGCCAGAAAACTTGGAAATAGGTTCCTGGGGGTTAGAGATAAAAAAGGTAAACATAGCAACAACAAGGAGAATACCTATCTGATACCCAGCCCCTACCTGTGGTAAATTGGATGTGTTCCTCTCTATCACATTGCTCTTCATTAGATTTGTTTCAATAAAGACAAATCTGTAACTTTAAAGCAAATGTGCAAGTATCTTTTTTTTACCATTATTTCTCTGGACATGGTTTTCCCTCAGTATGGGGGTAGATATTATGGAAACTAGGAGAGGATTGGCATTCATACAGACTTTCATTGTATCCCCTGGCACACACAAGCACATACAACACACATACACCCAAGTAAGTCCTGCAATGCCCTATTAAAAGGACAGAACATGAGAATGAGACTATTTGGGTCAGCTTCTGGCAGCTCAGTAGCACTGAATCTGCTGTCCAAGGACAAGGAACCATACACCCAAGGCAAAGGAAAGGGCTTTCCATGCAGAAAGTAAAACATTTTTTGCAGTTTCTTAAGGTTCACATTCTATTTTTGGGATCACAGGTGTGGGAGGGAAGGGAAGAACCTACCTTGCATTTACATCACTAAGAAAGGATTTTGTTTAAGCAGTTGGAATGACTTTATTTAGCTGCAAATGGCAGTTGAGTGGAGACCTGCAAACTTAGTGATTTAGGGGTCCACTGGAAGTGGAGCCTCAAAGGTGAGGCATCCTGAAGCCTTCTTTGAAGCCTGGCACTAGGCTGTACCTAATCTGAGATGCAGTGAGGAACTGACAATATCACCACAAGCACTTGAAAAGAGAAATACACAATTAAAGCACATCCCCCAAACAATCAAAGCTTCAGACAAGCTTGACTGCAAAACACAATTTTCCAGTTATCAGTTATCTTGGCTAAGTGAAATCAAGCCATGATGTCCAAATTCTGATCAGATTTTATGGATGCTATTTATATGTAGCTGACTTTTTTCTCCTTAATTTGATGGGTAGGGTTAAATTAGATCTTCATGTTACTATAATCATATCTTTTAGTGGCAGTAAAATGATACAGCAAACAAAGGTCAACACCTTTCAAAAAAACCCACATAGGTCTTCCTATGCTTGGAAGTTTAATATCAGAAATAAAAAGCAGTGGCATTACAAGGAACAGAAGCCCCACTGGACATTTTATTTTTCAGTTGATACCAGAGCTTTCCCACAATCTCTTTTTGTTGGGATGAAAGAAGCACCGCCAACCCCATGGAGAACAACCAAGGCATGACAGCTTCCTATTTTCATTTAAAAGGGAATTTGTTTAGCTTTAACTCCCATAAAACATTCATTATCTCTCTTCTCTTGAAAGAGATGCCTCTTTACTGTCACCAGAATAAATAACACAGACTCATCAGCAGTGCTAGGGTGCCAAGGGGGAAGGCCAGGAGGGAGAGCTGGGTGTGAAGGCTGGAGAGTGGGCACACCAGCAGCAGTCTGGGGCTAGGAAGGGAGAAGAGATCCTGGCAGAGGAGCAAGAGTCCGAGTTCCTCCCTCAACTCTTAGCAAATATCTGGTGAGCAAGGCCCTGAAAGGGAAGGATGGCAAGAGTGCAATCACAGCCTCCTTTTCTCAGGCTTCAATCAAGAAGACAGCCAAGTTTACACCCGGCTGACAGATAATGAGCACTGGCTAGAGGAACCATGGCATCCAGGGTTTCCCAGATGTCAGCATCCTGGAAGAGCACTACCCAAAATTAATTATGCAGTGGAGTAACACTGCAACCTCAGTTTTCTACCATCCAGTCCTTGGGAAACATAACTTCAAACACTGCTATCAACCTGCTTACCTGAAAGACATGGTAACAGGGGATATAAGTAGAAGTTAAATAAAAACCTATCATTGCTCAAGTTACTCATCATAATGAGCAAGTTGCACTGTGCTCTTGGGGACTGGATGGATTGTTTAACTGCAAGCAAAGTAAGCGAATAAAATACTGAACATGATTCTGTACCCTCTGCACAGGAAAGGATGTGAAAACGCAGGCCGTGCAGCCTCCCGCTAACCCAAAGTGCTCGGTAGCGTAGCTGGGCAAGAAGATTGTAGCTTCTGGACCAGCACACAACACTGACTTCAAGGAGACTACATACATCATCAGGATCCTCCAGTTCCTCTGCTTCTTGCTCGGGACTGATCCTTCCCTCCCTCCATTTTCCATTAGCAGCACTGAATTTGTACAGGTTTCCACACTGAAAACTTTCCTTTCCTTTCAACGAGGACCAGCGAGAGCCCTGGGAGCTCCAGTTGTGCCCACCATACAGTTTAGGAGACTTTGGAAGCCACTTAATAGAGTCCTGAGAGGAAGATAACAAAAAAGAAACAAACAAAAAAAGAAAGGGGAATGAATAGATTTTAAGAAAGTGGTTGAAGTATGTATGTGCAGAAATTGTCTGCCAAGTTCTGCAAGGTATTTTAGTGTCTTGTAAATACTGGGCTTCCCCTTTTTGCCTTGAGAGGTACCTGCAGTCCTGGAGAGACACTTTGACAATTAACTGGCATTACTGGTGATAACAAAGAGCAAGTGAAGGCTGCTAAATCAGTGGAAGCCTTCAGGGACTTACATCAGTGTGGAACCAAGCCCACTTTCAGCATCATAAAGAAGAATTAATGACCAACAACAGTCTTCAATAACGTCATACTCGGTACTATTAAGAAAACAAACAAGAGTACTTAGACCTTTTCTGATCATCTCATCTCACAATCTGAGTCAAAAAAATCCTATCAAGTCACCTCCCTGTTTTCACTAGTCATTAAATAAATTGTACTCTTTTTTAAACAGTCCCAATAGAAAGTACAATACTAAATTGATCTTTTCAGGTTTGCTGTTTTTCAAATTTTTCCCAGAATGTCCATTACTTATTTACATCCAAAAAACTCCACCTCTCTTCTTCATGCAGAGAGTTCATACACGACAAGATGTGTCAAGGTCGCCTACACACCTCAGTTTCACTGAACTTCAGAAATAATTATTTTAAAGTAGCTTTTACATTTCTTTTAAGCTTTATTTTAATCTTGCCTTTAAATTTTCTCATGGTGATACAAATCCAATGGCAGGAAGAAGCTTAGCGCCATATAAATAGGTACATTAATGCATAATTTCCAACGTGGCAGAATGATGGAGAACACAAACTAATGAAAAATAAAATACCAACAAGCTTGTGGTGGGGCAATCAGCAGCACACAGTGACTTTCACATTGTTTAAACAGATATTTAATTCAAATTTAACACTTGTTTGGCTCCCATTTTCCCCTTTAATGCAGAATGTTTATGGTCACACACACAGAGATTTCTTGCTGTTATCAGCACCTTGATGTCACCATCTCTATTAGATCTAAGGCTGAGAAAGAAAATATAGGAACACTATTGAGGCTGAGGTCCATTTGAAATTAAATCTGGCAAAGGTTGTCAAGGACAAGAAGAAGGGCTTCTTCAAATACATCAGTAGTAAAAGGAAGATAAGGGAAAATGTGGGCTTGCTGCTGAATGATGTGAGTGACCTGGTGATGGAGGATACAGAGCATGTGGAGTTACTATGCTTTCTTTGTTTCAGTCTCTATTGCTAAAGCCAGCCCTCAAGTATCCCAGAACCTGAAGGCAAGAGAGAAAATCTGCAGAGAGGAAGACATGCTCTTGGTCGAGGAGGACTGGAGATCATTTAGGCAAACCTGACACCCACAGATCCATGGGTCCTGGTGGGATGCACCCACTAGTGCTGAGGGAGCCGGCAGATGCTAAGCCACCTTCCATCATCTTTGAAAGGTCATGGAGAACAGAAGAAGTGCCTAAAGGCTGAAGAGTGTTACTGCAATCCTCATAAAGGGCAAGAAGGAGGACTCAGGAAACTGCAGGCCAGTCACCTTCACCTCCACCCCTGGAAAGGTGACAGAACAGCACATCTTGGATGTAATCTCTAAGCATGTGGAGGAAAAGAAAGTTATAAGGAGCATGGATTCATCAAGGGGAAATCATGCTTAACCAACCTGGTAGCCTTCTATGATGGAATGACTAGCTGGGTAGATGAGTGGAGAGCAGTGTATGTTGTTAAGCTTGACTTCAGCAAGGCTTTTGATACTGTCTCACATAACATCCTCACAGGTAAGCTCAGGTTAGGTGAGTGGACAGTGAGGTGTATTGAGAACTGGTTAAATGGCAGAGCTCAGAGGGTTGCAGTCAGAGGCACAGGGGAGGCCTATAGCTAATGGTGTTCCCCAGGGGTCAGTATTAGGTCCAGTCTTGTTCAACCTAGTCATCAATGACCTGGATGAAGGCACAGTGTAGCTTCAGCAAGCTCGCTGATGATACAATACTGGGAGGGGTGTCTAATATACCAGAAGTCTGTGCTGCCATTTAGCAATACCTGGACAGGCTAGAGAGTTATCTCATGAAGTTCAACAAAGGCAAGTGCAGGGTCCTGCCCCTGGGGAAGAATAAACCCATGCACCAGCACAGGTTAGGGGTTGATCTGCTGGAAAGAAGCTCTGCAGAGAAGGACCTCGGGGTCTTGGCGGAGAACAAGTAAACCATGATATAGCACTGTGTCCTTGTGGCCAAGGCAGCCAGTAGTATCCTGGGGTGCCTGAGGAAGTGTATGGACGAGGGAGGTGTTCCTCCCCCTCTACTCTGCCCTAGTGAGACTGCACCTGGAGCACTGTATCCAGTTCTGGGCTTCTTGGCTCCAGAAAGACAAGGAGCTACTGGAGAGGGCCCAGCAGAGGGCTGCAAGCATGATTAGGGGTGGAGAGCATGTCTCTTATGAGGGAAGGGTGAGAGAGCCTGGGGAAAAGGCAACAGAGGGGATCTTATAAATGAACACAAATATCTTAAGGACAGGTGTCAAGAAGATTGGGCCAGATTCTTTTCAGTGGTGCCCAGTGACAGGATGAGAGGTAACATGAACAAATTGGAACACAGGAAATTCCACCTGAATACTAAGAGGAACTTCTTTACTTTGAAGGTTGGAACAGGCTGCCCAGAGAGGCTGTGGAGTCTGCTTCTCTTTAGATACTCAAAATCTGCCTGAACATGATCCCGTGCATGACCCTGCTTTAGCGGGGGGTTGATCTCCAGCACACCCTCCCAAACCCAACCACTCTGTGATTCTGTGTAAAGGAGATATGACAAGGCTGTCAATGCTGGACATACTGATTCACCTTCAGTGCTGAAGGAGCTCCCCTTGGGATTTTTCACTTTTTTTTTTTGGTTTTAGGATGGCTGAAAAGATTAGGACATAGAAAAGGACAATATCTCAGAGCCTCATTGGAAAAAATTACAGATCTTTCTGTGAGTCCTGAAAAGATTATAGCCCCAACAAAGGATTATTTGCACTGTACGCAGAAGGCATGATTGGCCTCTATAGGAAATTTCCTGTTAAACCACATTTTGAACTGCACTGACATTTGGAGATACCACTGTTTGCTGATCAATAGCAGGTATTTCTGGTTATTCTAAACCACATTGCTCAGGGCACTCAAGCTGACTGTCAACTTAGTTCATTAATTGAACATCAATGATCATGGTAGTAGCTCCCACTGCTCCTGATAAATCAGAACGCAAGGCAGGATATCTCCTGGTATTTCTCTATGCTTGCCTTGAATATAAGGAATCCTTAAATAGAAGCTTTGTTTCCTGTGAATATTAACTAGGTGGATGGCAATTCTAATCAGATAGGTAAATAACATACTGGTTGAAACTGTTTGCTACTGTTTTGGTCTGTTTTATTTCAGAATAGCTAATGTGACATCTCCTAGCATTCAGAGGATTTCCAGAGGCAGTTTAAATCCTTGTCAACTTTTAAGCTCATTAGGAAGTCATAAAGCAATTTCACTCTAAAAATAAACACTGTACTCCACAGGTACAGTGGAGCATTCAACTTCTTCTGATGGAATGTCTTATCCTTGTTTGACCCCGATCCCTAATCCTAAACAACAATTTCTCAAACTCAGCCTACCAAATTCTGCAAGACCAGTAAAAGGCTGTTCTCTCAAGGTAACAGATACAGATTTCAAATTAAGCTTATGCTGACAATCATTTCACCATCTTAAGCATACATTCAATTGCTGTGGTAGACTCCTGTATAAACAAGGAGCAAGCTAATGTCCATCAGTAGATTTTACTTCCCTATGCCCCCCGCAGCTGAGCTGGCAATACAGAGCTGTAGGGCACTCCTGCTCCCTGCCTGTCTTCACCTGCAGAGGATGCTTTTCCTCATGCTGACATACAGCTACAAGGGAAATTCAGTATTTGCTTCACACGTCCTACCTTCTTTAACCCAAGAGATTTTAGTCTTCAATATTCTTGATGTACAGCATTTTAAAGTAAAATGGGAACAAAATGACAATTCCGGGAAGAGCTGCTTGCATTTTCGCTAGGTCTATGCAGTACCATGGATGGCATTATCTTTATGGAAAGCAGTTTGATTAGATCAATGGCAAGAGATTGAGTGGAACAACCAGAAATGCCTTTATATTTGCACATTTAAGTAAAACATCCCATGGATTATGATTTCAATAAAATGGAGAAACAAAGAAAATTAACACTGCTGCTGTGAGCAAAGACTAATTACTTTGAAACAAATCTTAATCTTCAATAATTTCTTACAAATTGATCCTTTTTGATAAAAGGAGGAAGGCGGCATGGATTGAAATAAGAAGATAGTGGACTTTTAATCCAGAGTTCAGTAACAATATAAGATGAGGAACAGAGAATGCCAGGGATGCTGTTGCTAGACCTACTGACTGCCAGGGTGTTACCATACCTGGCTCTTCTCACCCTTTTGGACAAAGCTAAGAAATGCTACACAATGCTGCAAGTTCTTAGTGACGCCAGTCACGTGCAAAGTTTGCTGTAAGGAAGAGATGGAAGGTACAGCTCTGTTTGCTAAGCTTTAATGCAAAGCAACCACTCAATCTGATTTTTTTTAACCGGTTTTGTTTTCCCTTTCAAAAATAACTCCTTGCTCAGATGTATTAATGAAAATTGTATTAGATGGTCAATAAGCTGCCATCCCCACTCAAGGTGGAAATCATTACAGTTCAGCTAACAGATAGTAGATCTGTACTCCAAAAATAAAACTAACAAAACTCAAGTAATTTATTAGCTCGTTCTCATTACATTACATACTATAGGACTGCTTTGAGACAAAATAGGCTACAGGCAAGTATCCTAATATTAAAAGAGAAAAATCATTTCTCGTCACAGAATTCTACAGGTAATTGATCTTCTTATTACCCACGAAAGACAGGAAGTTTCTCCTTGTGTTTTACACATGTGGAAGCTGAGACCCAAAAAGACCAAAAAGGTCAATGTTCTAAGTCATCAGTAGCAAACACAGAGTGAAGCACAAAGATTTACAATCTTAAAATATTTAGAATAAGACATAGGAAGAAGGCAAATTCATTATTTAGAACTTTAAGTTTCACGGTTGTTTGGACTGTGTAACACTGCTGCTTTGTAAGTGCAGAAGTGTTTGGACAGAAAAACTATTTATTGTACCTAGCAGTTGTTACGTTCCATGGAAATGCATTTTCCATCCCCCTTCATTAGTAATGATACCAACTGGTTGGAGATGGATCATCTTCCTTCAATATTTCAGCAGCAAGTCAGGTGGGCTCCCTTTTTGCCTCCTTTCAATGTGTTT